TCTTAATGATGGGTCTTAGAAAAAAATAGAATGAAAAGGAAAATGTATTAGCACTACGATACGGCTAAAGACAGTAATTTCTTAATAACATAGCAATTCTCTTATTACGTCTTGTATAAAAACAGAAGAATTCACATAAATAAAAAAATCCTTCAATATTTTATTACCAGAATAATCTTCCGGGCAGCTGGCCGGATCCTGAAATTATTTATGGAAACCAAACAAGTTAGGAAAAAAGGTTCGTTAGTTAATTGCTTCAATGTTTTATTCTCATTCAATATATAGAATTCTCTGGACCATTAGCATGGTCCTTTGTCCTCAGTTAGGATTTGAAATATTATTACTTACGAAGTGGCACACTTTGGGATCCTCCAGACACAAGACACCGCCGCTGCCCTTCGCAAGTTCCACCCCTTCGCCAAATCCTGAAGTGTAAAAACACGACCGCGTGATATGCCGTCTGCGGGGTTTTCTGCAGACCGCACGTAGGCAAAAGTTGCCTGTAATCCGCGAGAGTCCAAAAACTCATATATCCGTCGCAGCTCCCACGTCATGGCGTGTGATTTTGAGCTGCCTTTATTCGCCGCTCCTTGCAGCGAAGTGTTGTCCACCCAAACGTCGATGATGGATGGCAAGATGGCGATAAAGGCCGATAAGGCTAAGCGTACCGCTCGTGCCTCGGCCTGCATGATAAGAAAAGGTTTCTTCTCCCATTTCCCTCCGGCAATTTTAACGTCGCCGGAGTCTGGAATAAAAACGGCTCCCCATCCATGGAGCGATGCATCCGTGATGATGGCAGCCGATGCTCTCTCGGTGGGCTTGATGATTCGCTTGCGATTGTTCTCGATGGTGTGTCGCAACCTCTCGCCCAAACCAACCGCTGCCGGCGGTAGGTTCGCCGGGGATGTCTCCAGCACAATTCCCCGGTTAAGTGCCGATAATCGTCGTCGCACTGCCTTTATGAAAAGTAGTAGGCACATAAACGCGTGCCCAAAATGGCAGCCGCGTACAAAAAACGTGACGCCATAACCTCCATTTCCGCGATGGTCAAAGAATTAAGCGCCGGCATGGCGCGTACAGAGCGGACAAACCTTTCACTCAGGGATACCGCCCGGTGAGTGTGATCAAACTGCACCCCCAGGAAGGTGTACTGCGTAGCGCCCGATTCGCGTTCCTCCCCCAAGGATGCGTGACAACTGTCCGCATTACGAAGCACTTGGGCTTCCCACAATGTCACATCGCTTTTCGACCCTGCAATGCGTATATTATCGATCCAAACGTCGATACGCACCATTGGAGGTGCGGCCCAGAGGGGGTGAACCACCGTCGTCACCACCGCAATTGCTGAAGTAATAATAATCTGGAGAATTTCTGGGCCGGCCTTGTATCCCACTGGGAGCCGTGTGAGCTCCACCAGCGTGCCGTCCTCCACGCGGCATCGAAAGAGATGCCGAGTCTCCCGCGGTAAAGGGACTTGAAAAAAGGATGCCTTTACATCCAGGCGGGAAGCGGCCTCAGCCATCACAGGCGGCAAATAATGAGAAATATGTAAAAGAGGAACATTCGCCTCATAAGGGTCGTCTCTGTTCTTGTCGCGTGGTCACGCGATCCATCGTCGTCGTAAACCGGTGGTTTTCTCCTCCACAACTGAGAAAGGTATTATCCATCCGCCTGTTATTGTGGACGAAGCGTCCTCGATTATTCCTGCTTTTCTTAACAATCTCGCGTCAGCGGTTGGAATCCTCCGTGAGCCTTCGCGCGCTTTGCCGGAGGAAGACGGAGGGAAAAGGGGACCGCCCCACGAGTCCCCATACTTGCATGAGCCTCTCCAAGGTGGCCGGGTTCAACCGGCTTTTAATCCACTCTAGATTCAATACGGGCACGTTGACTTGCTGTAGCTGGATGGTTCGTTCATCTTGTGGAGTGGCCAGACGCGTCCTTGTCGCGCGTCTCGTTATTGTAGCGGCCTGATTGTGATTAAAATCATGGAAAAAACGCTCCTCTGCTCTTAGCCAGGGTTCTTGCCCTTCCGCCGTTTCTCCCTTCACATCAATGCGACCAGCGACGACACCTGGGTCAGCATTGTGGTGTACCTCCACAAATATCGAACAGTATTCTGGGGGAAGGTCGAACGGGTCGACGTGCTTCGCCAACTGCGAGATCACGTGTGGGTAAAAATTGTACGTCTCCACGATTTGAGCAGCGTGTCTCAACGCTCCCCGTTTTATGAAATGCGCCGTGGCATCCCAAGGAGCCAGAGCTCGTTCGACTTGGGCAGTCGTCAGATTCGTGAGCTTTTCCTTCTCTTGAAGTGTCCTGCATAACTTTATAATGTCGAAAGCGTCCTGCCCTCGTATCCTCACGAACCGCAAGGCGCGGTGGGGATCCGCTTTCGCCGTCTTCGGCGCGACGGACCAATCCAAAATTAAGGTCCCGTCCGCCTCCAGTGTGAAATTTTTGGCTGTCAAGGCCGCAATCCCCAACCAAAGCCTCGCCGTTATCCACGCGAGTCGTAAGACAACACGTTCCTTCCAATCGGTCCGGCTGCGGATTACTTGATTCATCTCTTCCTTTGTCAAGGGGCGCGCTTGCTTCGTCTCCGATCGCGCCGCAATTTTTTGTAACCCCAGAATCACAATATCCAGCGGAGTTCGATCCATTTCCAACATGGACCGCAGCATCCTGGCGTACTGCAGTCGGGTCGATGGCGCGACTTCGATTGCCATCAAAAAGGCCGCACAGCTCTCCTCGTTTATCGGCTGTTCGTGCGTGCGGCAAAAAGTCGTGAATTGCCCCGCTAGGGACATTCTCTGCTCCCACGTTGACGGCGCCCACATCTCTCGAGCCACCTCGTTCGCTTTCCTCATATAACTGGCCCAAAGCGGGGATGTCGGTAATTCGTCGTACCACAGTCGAGCGTCGTTGGCACAAAGCTCCGTTGCCCTTCTCAACGATTGCGTCGGGCAATTTGAAAGATCGGGTGGAGCATCGGCGGCGCGGTGCGCTGTCTGTGAGGATTGGTGGGAGGTGGCGGGTTGGATGGGGCCGCCGTCGCCAGCATTCATGAGCGGCGTGCGGCAGCCCCTCTGCCGTTTTTTGATGGGCGCCTGTATTGTGAGTAATTCCCTCTGGGGCGCACATTGCATGTAGATGCCTCTTGTCCAAAGATATGACAACGTTGGCATCGCACAGTGCGTTGGGTTTCTCGCCGATCGACGAAAAGCTGGGTCGCCCTCGCATAAGCGTCCGTCTGGTGAACAGCGTTGAAAAGACGGGCGCGCAATTTGGAAAGTCGGATGCCGGGATCGGATGCAATCGTGAGCTGCATCCGGAATGTATTCAGTAGGGACCTCCCCAAATTCATGAAGCGATCGGTGGGATCCTGCAGGCATTCCACCGCGCCGATCCACTCGACCAAAATGTCAAAGGCAAGTTTAACCTGCTCGTCCTCCTGTTGCCAGCATTGGTATGCACACCGGAGATCGATAATGACTCCGGAGGCGCCCTCATTCCATGTACGCGTGGGCTACCTGGTGACGTCAAATGCGCAGAAACTGCGGTCCTCTTCCATAGTTAATCGGGTGCCCAGGGGAGAAGTGCGGGAAGGCAACGGCGTGGAGGGGTGGAAATGTGGTCTCCCAACATTGCCGTGAGAGAGTCTGTAGGCCGCCGAACTGTGTCGGGCCGCGCTGCTAGGCACGCCTCCAGCCATCAAGATACCCGTTTGATGCGATATTGTAGTTACGCCATCGTTGGCAACGTGTCGAGTAGCGGGGGACTCGTCCCGCTCCGCCGTCTCCGCATCCCGCGCGGTTTGTAGTGCGTTAAGGCGTGCCTCCCGTTCAGGGAGTTGAGCATTGAGGACTCCCAAGTTGAATTCGCGCTCCCGTAATTGGGCGCGATCGGCCTCCAACTGCTGTCGTAGTTCTAGGACCTGGTTGCCGGCCCCGGCGATATTGGATTCCCTTACCAATAGGTTAATTTGCGCCTCCTGAAACTGCGAGTTAATCTGAGCATTTCGATTCTGCACGTCCGCGACGGCGTTAGCGTAATCAAAATTTAGGCGCTCCCCTTCAGCAGTGATGAGCCCCTGTTGGTGCCCCAACTCCCGGGCTGCCCCCATAGCGGGCAGGAGCACGTGTGTCTCAAAATTAGGGATCTGAGGCGCCCGTAGATTCGCAATATGTCCAATAAGAGTAGAATCCTGCCAAGCTTTAGATACAGGTCCATGGAGCAAGCATAAGCCTGTGGATGATGCGGCCACAGTTAACGTCTCATCCGACGGCTGGTTACCATTAATAAACGTCAACTGCACCTGGGTCTCGCCACATTGGCACACCATGTCCCAGAGACGGGCGCCAATATCACACCACTCGGAGGGTGTGTAGGGAACCAAAGTCATTTCCTTAAGCTTACCTGGCTGTGTGTCTGTAAAAATAAAATTAAAATATTATCCGGCCTCTATCGGCTCCCTGCCCCTACAAAGTCGCGTTCTTCCCAAAAAGATTCATACGGTAGAAAAGTATCATAAAGAATGCATTCATTTATCAGGATGTACATTCATTAATTAAGTTAGCCAGCTCTCCCGTGATCATTCTTTTCACAAGCTCCTATTAATTAAAATGTCCCTGGCATCCCTGATTTGTTTTTCTGTCGTTGTGAAGGAATATCGTGTTGTAATTTTTTGGAATCTGTGTGCCTCACTCCCAAAGGGGATGATGCACCGGTGTCGTATAAAAAAACAAACATCCACATGTATTAAACAACTCAAAATATTGTTTTTCACCAGAAATATAAATTTCTTTCCTCACTTAATTTCTTCTGCCACTGCTATTATCACTCGCGTTGAACATTATTAACACTTCTGTGCGGTGCTGCTGCCTGGTGCTGGTGCACCGCAACGTATACACACAGACAATTATCCAAAAATATATATACCTCACAATATTTTTTACCAGAAATAAAAATTTCCCCTTTCCCAATTCGTTTTCCCCATTTCTTTAGTTATCACTGACTTCAGGTGGCCTGTTTTGCAATAACATTTCGGCTGCTACTGTCACTTGATACTGGTGTACCTTTTCCTCCCAGAACGCCGCTATTTCACGATTCTCAGCTTCTGTTAAATTCGCCGAATCATCACATCTCTGCCAGCCACGTATGGGCGTGCTGTCTGCGTGCTGTGCATAAATAATCTCCCACGACAAGTCTCGGGCAAATTCCTCCCAACCATTAAAGTATTCCGCCATACGCTCCTTAAACAGCCTCACAGTGCTGGTTTGGGTGTGGTGTGCATTTGCTGTAGTCGTCTGCAGCCCAACCAGCGTCCTCCGCGGTGACTCCGTGAAGAAAAGGGCATCCACCAGCGGAAAGTTTCTGACAATCGGTTCGTACAATACCCCGTACTTCAAATCCATCCTGGCAGGGTTGCCACGCAGTTCTTGTAATATTTCACTGCGGGTGGGGTGACCTCGAGGGTTGTCGCTCAATACCGAAAACCGCGACCGACTTCGCCCTCCTGGATGTAGCTCAGTGAGGTTTCTTTGTATTATATCCACGGCATGCGGATTCATAAACGTGGCCGTGCCTGATTGCTCTAATTTCGCCCACACCAAATAACCGAAGCTACGCAGCAACAGATTTAAAATATCAACCGGCGGCGTCATATTTGTTAGATGATGAGTTATCTTAATCATGGCCGAACGGGAGACCGGTGCGTTGTAACCTACTTCGATTTCAGACACTGCTCGCATTCGGAGAACTTTCACGATTTTGTGGGAAACATCTTCAGCAATCCAAATTTTATCGCTTCCCACACCCATGTAATCCGTAGCATTAGAAGCGTTAATATTTTCTATAGCTTTGTCAATCGCGGGCACGTGAGTATTATATTCTAACACATTGAAGATACAACGTGGGATCGGACCCACTTCATCCACGCGCTTCTCCACCTTTTCCCAGTATTGCGCTGGGTTCATCGCTTGTTCCTCCGTTTGTTCCTCCAATTGTTCCCTCGTTTGTTCCTCCGTGGGCTGAATGTGCTTCATCCAAAAGCACATTGCCTTCAAATCAATCCTGTGAGGGCAATCAATTACGATTGGCACCACTCTCTTATCCTTCTTCCATTGCTTAAAGTTATTCTCGTTTGGTGATGTCAGTACAATCATGCCCCATTCGGAAGGAACAAGAAAAACCGACGGTTTACGACCATCCTTTGCCACGTCGTAGATAACATACCCTTTCATCCCACGCTTCCTCAAACTCGGGATAACACTCCTCGACATTTCATCAGTATGGTACTGTGTCACCGTATGGGCGGTCTTGTCAAACAAAAATGCTTCATCCGCAATAACGTATACAACCACTTGGAGTTTCTCGACATCGCAGTGCAGTAGCTGGTAGAGGAGGTACGAGCCGGCACCCATCGACTTCCCGATCCCGGGCGTCCCAATCAAGAGATGCCGATTAGGCTCAAAGTCGATCCAACCGCGAAAGCTGAACCATTTGGTTAGCTCGCCCTTGACGATCTGCCACACTCGATCCACCTCACAGTTCACATAGCAGTCACGAATGCGTCTATTCCCCACCCATGAGTATGGCCATGCCTTTTCCGAGGTAAGCACCATCAGCCTGGGACGCGGTGGGCTGAATTGCTGTACAGCGTCATTCTTTTCGAAAGTTTCGCCAACTTTCTTGTACGTCCATGACTGCGGTGGTTCCCCCTCCTTCACCTCCATTCCCATTCCGGTGTCGTCAGGAACCTCCACCACATGATGCCACCTCGCATTGTACACAGACTCGTAGCATCCCTCCAGCATCTCAGCTTCAAGAACCTTCGCTGCCTCAAGCATCGCTCTTTCATTTGCCTCACGTTTTTCTCTCTGTACCTGAGCGAAAACCCCGTTTAGTTTTTCACATACAAGTGGAGTGAGTGTAGCCTTTCCTTGATAGTACCTCCATTGCTCGAGAAAGTGCACACCCTCGTGTTGAAGCTTATTAATAGCCTCCAATAGTATTTTCCTTTTCTCCAGCTCTCTTTTCATCTCTCTTTCCAGCTCTTGGTACGACGGCGATGCCGTTATTAAGCCCAATATTTCACTGTCGTTAATAAACATCGTGGGTCTCAACACAAACATCTCCATAGCGACGTTCTCATTGGTGTCCACAACGCCCCTGCCGCCCAAATTGCTCCGAAGGAAATCGTTCAGCTTCATGTCGGTCCTGAGAGTGCTTCCCTCCAGCAGGATGTCCTTTACGCTGCTGCTCATGGTCCACTGCGGTTGCCGCGCCTCCTCCACTCTTCTGCGAGTCGCGGCGGGTTGATCTGTAACATCCTCAGACTCCGGCCTCGCTCTCCTCTGATCATCTCCCTGCGGCACGGCAGACGCTTGATTTCCAGACATTGTTTCTCCTTGTTTTATCGGTTGGATTAAGTTAAAGCTGAATACTGACCAACAAAAGAGAGAAGAATAAAAAAGAAAATAATCACAGAAATGACTCGCAGCCAAAACAAGAGACTCATCCACACCAAAAGAGTCATCCACACAGTATTCGATAAAAGCCAAATGCACAGGCACCACCGCAACGACGGCGAGTGAATGTCATCCACCCAGCACAGTGTTGGTGAGAGCAAACAACAACAACGTGGTGCGCACGGAGGGTTCGTCCACGCATACCGCTCGCCACGGTCCCGCACCCCTGTGGCACCGCCGTCACCGCACACACTCTGGAAGAGGACGTGGACATATCACCCCTGACACACACACAAGTGAAAAAAAAATTCGGTGCAGTCACACGCAGAACTCCAAATCATACATGCCACAACAGTGATGCATCATGGTAATCTCTCACAGGGAATATATATGTATATATTTTTTATCTAAAATCCCCGCAATTCGCACGGCACAAAAGAACCATGACGCTCCTTTTCCCATTGCATCCGTCATTCATATTCCCAATGCGTAACCCTGCAGATGTTGCCCCGCCATGGTAAAAGCAACTGCCTTGTTGTGGTGTCATCGCGCAGCCATCCGCCTGAGTGGGAACGAGAAGAAAATCAGGCGTCCGTCCACCTGGAGGGAGGGAGGGACTCCACCGCGGTGTCCCATTTGACGCAAACATTCCGCGGCCAGTTCCCGGTGTCGTGTGCGGACTCCGCGATGAGGTTTTGGACACGCCACTGTGCCACACGGTGTGCCCCCTCGGAACGTAACAGCAGACGCGTCCGGAAGGGACGCACTCGTGGCGGTGGCGGCTTCCGCTGCCTCGCTGCGTGCTGGTGGCGTCGATAACGATGCTGCAGTGTGATAGAAGATGCCCGACAGGAGCAGTGCTGCGTTGGGTGGGCAATGCCCTCCGCGGCAAGACACCCAGCGCGACTCCTGACCGCGGCGCTCACGCACTTCCCTCCCGCTCCTCTCCCTCCATTCGGCAATCGCACAGCCGCCAGCACATTTCCCCCGAAACAACACACACGTGAAAGCGTCGTAGCATATTTCCCAAGAGAACAGAGCGACAGCCACACGCTGCGGCCATCGTGCCGACAAGTCCGACGCGGCCGCACCCACACCCACAGTAGCAGAAACAAAGAAGAAGTCTTCCACTCCGTGTCATGTCCTCGTGCGTGATGGTTCGGCATTTCAGAGCAATACCGCCACACGCCGTGCAGCATTTCCACAGAAGATGAGAGCCACGGCGCACTCTCAGTGCATCTTTCTTTTTCATTTCCGCGGAATGCAGCAGCTGCCAGCACCGAGTGCACGAGAAGCATCAAGCTGCACTGCAACATGCACGCCGTGCGGCTGTGTGTCTGCAGACACGCAAAGAAAAAAAAAGAGCCACGCACGTGGAAAAAACAAAAAAAAACCGCAGCGGAGGTGCAGGACAGACAACGAGAAAAGAAAGAAGGCAGCCGAAGCTCAAGAAGGCACGGCAGCCCAACATGTGGCAACTCACAATACGCTTGCAGAAACAAAAAATAAAAACTTTAAAAAAAAGAAAAAATAAAACGCTAAAAACAGTCCCCTTGAAGAAGTTTTTCACGCTCACAAAAAAATAATAATAATAACACGGTGATGCAGAAAAACAAAAAGAAACACGTGTATATTCTTCCTGCAAAAATAAAACTATATTTGAGTCAGCCGTTCAACCTCCTGGTGTCCTCACAACACCAACATTTCATTGGGACATTCAGTTTGTTGCTGCACATCTTAAATCCCTTCTTCACCGCACCATCGTCGTGGAGCTCAATACCGACTGCACGTGTCGTCGGCCGACGGAAACATTAAAGAAATCCCGCCAATCTCAAAATATTCCACTATATAAAAAACAAGCATATAGAATAAAGCAAAAACAAATACCTCGCGGTGCGGTCCCGGGAGGGAGAGCATGCTTTTAAATAAAGAATTGCACAGGCGGAAAAGGGATATTCAAACCAAAAATAAAATATATAAAATAAAAGGTACGTCCAAGCAAAAAGTCAATTATTCCAGAAAATGCGTGGAGAGGTACATTTTGCTCCCACTGGAGGCAGGGGTCCCGCCGCGTTACGCCCCGTAGAGGGCCGCAAAGCCGCACAACCCAGCAGCAGTACCCGCAACACGCCCCCACGCACGGAGCCTTCGCTCTTCTTGACCATTTTTAGTTCATCGTCACCCAGTGGGCAGTTGTACAGAAAGAAGCTCGCCACCGTCGCACTGCTGCCGCTGTCTCCCTCGTCGCCCCCAATTTAGAAGCATGAGACTCCAGTCCCCGCATCTCAGGTGTTCGTATCGTCGCATAGCTCCCCACAAGCTCAGCACTCACGTACACAAATCCCCTGTGGCCGTCCTGCAGCATGAGCGCCACCTGGTATTTTTTCCCCGGCTCCCAAGTGCTGCCCGATGCTGTTTTTATTCCGTAAAACACTGCCTCCCACCTACCGTCCGCGTCGTGCGACAGCCCAATGAAGTTCGTGCTGACGGGTGCATCCAGACCCGCACCCGGTAGAGAAGGGCTAAACTTCGAAAAATTTTGGATCATCACCGTCGCCACAATAGTGAAATCACAGCTTACAAAGTTGTGCGGCCCATTATGCTCCCGGCTGCTCACGGGCCATATTGCCCCGGACCCAAGGCCCCGTGAATTCAAACCCATCTTTGGCCTTCATTGCATTCTTCGTCACAATTGCATTCACGCAAAGGTAATCGTCGATCCACGTGTCACCACCGGACAATGCGTTGGAAAGGAAACCAACCAGACCCGCCGTGGGTGTGTACAACTCAGAGAAGGAGGAATCCAGCTGTGCCCAACTCTTCAAGACGTAATTGATCATCTGTAGCCCCTCTGTTAGTAAGACAAGCGAAATGGTGTTGCTTGCTTTAATAATCCCATCCTGTAAAATGTGCAACGCACCATCCGAGTACAGCAGGGCGTGGAAAAGTTCCAAGTTATTATCCATGGCAAGGGGTCCAACAGAAAACGTGCGGTTATGGTCCATGACCCAAAGATGGAACACATTTTCCTTTTTCTCCCCCGAAAAGCACCTTTTCCAAGTGTACAGCATCACCTTCACTCCCTCAATGTTCGCGGTGATAGGGGCTTCCATAGGCAAATTGCCTTCCCGAAAGACTCCCAATTTTGACTTGGTCCACACGCCTGGGAGTGTCCCAATAGCCTCCGTCCGCATTGCCCCCATGTCATGCGAATCAAACAAACTCTGGCCATTCTCGCAATCAACAATCATGAGAAGTGATCCCTGCCATTCGGTGATGTGGGGGTTAAAGCATGCCGCAGGATAAATGCCCTCTGGGAACACACAGGTATTGCCGTCGAATAAGTGATTCTGGAGAAGGATCGATTTTCCCCATTCTTCGCCCTCAGGGTAAACACAAGTGTGCCACCCTCCATCACAATGTTTCAACTACCGCCACCCTCAAGATCCGACAGGTTGCTTTTAATCCTTTGGGGAATCTGCCGTGAAGGTGACTTGGGTTCGACCCAGTCGATCGATGTACTTTGCACGCCGTCATTATAGTGCGTGGCATCACCCTCAACAAGTTGAATATCCCAGCCAACCGTATTCTAGCGACCATCATTTTTTCACATATTGTAGCTCCCCACAAGTAGAAGCACTTTATTGTCCTATGCAATCGCTGTGGGGTTGCACGCAACACCAAAAAGATCCTCTTAACTCACTGTTCTAAACAGTGTGCGTACCATCCATTTATCCTTGTTGTTCTCGGCGGCAATTAACGGCCACGTCTCCGCGGCGTTGATGTACCCCGCCACAATATCAGAGGGACGCACATTCAATCTATAGTGGGAACCTTTATACTCGGTGTGACCTTCAGCAAATGCAATCGTCACTCCACCAGCACGGACAAGAGAAGGCGCAGCGAATGAATCCCTCATTCCACGTTTGCCAGAACCACTTTTTTGGTTCCACCTGCGTCTTCATCGGCACATAAATGTCAACCGGTTGTGGCATTCGCACGTCCCCTGACTGCTGCCCTCTGCGTTAGCAGCTCCACATCCACAGCACATCGTCACGATGAAAAAAAGCGCCGTGGAAGTAAGATGCCGGGACATGTTGGGCCTCTCGTGCTCACTCTCTCTCCTTCCCTCCTCCTTCCGCTGGATCCGGTCACGCGGCGACGGTTGTGTGTGCGGGGTGCCTTCACTGCAGCAAAACGTGAGAGCATATAAATATGTGTGTGGGCGGTGTGTGCTGTTGGTCCTTTCAGAGCCTTCGAGTTTCACAGTAGCGATTAGCGTTCGTTTCCTTCCTTTCCTAGCGTGTCTGTGTTCAAGAAGTGGAGAGCACAGCAGCAGCAGCGGCAATACACCAGAAAGGTCAGTGGGGAGGAGAGCAGAGCAGAGCACCCACGCAAAGAGTGGGGCACGAGACAATCCGGAAGGAACGGCACGGAGGACCATCGCCCACAGAAAAGAGCAGCAACACGGCAAGTCACGGCGGGCCCTCGGTGTGTGCGGGCCAGCCCTCACGCGGTGCAACACACCACACACAACAGCGGAAGACAGACAGACAGGCGGAGAGAAATGAATGGATGCCGTCAAGAGGCACTCACAGTCAACATGTCCCGTGAGCATGCGGCCACTCCACGCAGGAACACAGGAGAAAAGGGTTAGGGGAAAAGCAAGAAGCAGCACAACACACACGGAAGGAACAGACGACAGGCGGAGAAAAGCATCGCCAAGGGCCTCACCCTGGCTGGCAACTCCACACCAGCCCTCACACACACATCCATCGCAGTGCCGTCAGTCCGCGGGTGAGAGGATTCGGCCCTCCACAAAACAAACGCACACACCGCCAACAGTCATCCACCAATGGAGAAGAAAAGAAGCGACACACCGCCACCACCGCCTCCAGCTCAATCCCACTGCCAACGGGATGCGGCCACAG